AAAAAAAGGAAAAAAAAGGCAACCACACACATACACTGTGGTTCTAAAACTTTTTGACTCAAAGGCCCCCCACTATTCAACAAAATATTGTGTTCCACAGAGGAGAGAAAGTAATTCAGGTTTGGAACAACGTGAGTATGAGTACATGATGATAGAATGTTCATTTTTGGCTGAACTATCCCTTTAAAGACATTCATAATCAACTTAACAAAACATTAGTGTGTAAAAATATCTTGCAGCACACTGGCTCTGGAGTCTTATCTAGGCTCTGTCATGATAGTGCAGCTCTTACTGTAATGTCTTACAGTAATGCAGTTGGTATTGAGCTTCTCTGTGGTGAAGACTAAAAGTGAACTGGAATTAACTGGAGGAGTGTGTTAAAAGCCTGCATATGATTAGCACTCACACATACTCCCACATGGCAGCCGACCTTTAGGTTTAATGCACTTGGTCTAATGCAGTCTGTCTGTCTAATGCATCTATGGGTGTCTGACAGAGATGACATAATGATCCGGAAACTCAGTTTATCCATAACCGTTATGCATTTTCTGATGTCTGATAGAGCAAGGAAGAGACAAATTGTGTGTGCCTATTTTTGCAGAGACTGCTGTATTTGCTCTACACACACTCTGTAATAAAATCATGAGCAAGTTGAACAGTTCGAAAGAGGCAAAGACAGAAAGAAAGAGCAGGGTGTGACATGGGACCCTTTGTAATGACAAACTGTAAAACAAATGTCTTTATAATTATATTCTGCACATTAAAATAGCATGAGCCATTTGCATTCAAATTGATTCAAATCAGAATGGCCTTCCTAAAAGGTTTTCTGAAAGACTTGCAAACAGCAAACAGCCATACAGTCACAAATCACTATGGAGAATTTCAGACATTCAATATGGATGACCAAACAATGAAAAACACAGGACTTAAGTACTCTGAACTAAATGAGGAACACCTGGAAATAATGACATAAAACATAGGAAACACCTGGGACAAATGAACCTAATCAGGGAACAGGAAGACCAAATAAGGGCATAAACATAACATGGAGCACGTGGGGAACAAAACACAACACAAGACAGAAACAGAGTCTGACATTACTCCCCTCCGCATCCCACGCCATAACAATTCCACCGGGGGGGTACTGGTGCAGGACTGGGACACGGGGAATACCTCCAGGGCAGATCAGGCAGTCCAGGGTGCCATGGCGGAACAGGGAGCTCAGGGAGCCCGGCCTCGGCTCGGCCTCCACGGACAGACCCCTACTACCCCCCCCCACAAAAAATCCTTTGGGAGAATATCGTTTTTAGAGGTCCTCCTTGGGCAGGACATGGGGACTGGAGCCCTCCTTGGGTTGGACAGGGGAACTGGAACCCTCTTTGGGC